ATCCTGAGAGACCTGCATTGTCATATCATAGAATGCTGGTCAAAATAGGAGGTTGGCAGTTAGGGAATGGGAAGATCCACGTCAAGCCACGTGGTGGTCGCGACGCGCGCTGCATTGTTATTTGGTCCGCTGGCAGCCCTCCTCTCGATGTTCTTCTTCCTACACCCATTGCAGCTGCTGCCTCGGTCAGTCACAACCGACTTCGCGGACAGTTCAATCGTGCTTCGATTTTCTAGCGTCTGAGCGAATACTGAACTTGATCCTTACGAGCTCTCATTCGGACCTAACTCGCTCGAAGACGTGTCAGCGTGTGTCCCATAAGCTTCTCTGGTTTGCTAGGCCGTGCCTCAATTGCCTGCGAGGGCTTTTTATTTTTGTACAGACCTTACTCTCCGTATAGTTCTCCAATTTCCATCACTGCATCTTGATGCATCTTTAGGAGTCCTATAATCATACGTTGCTCACCCCACCCTATGATTATACCTTCTAAAGAGGGTGATTGATTATTGGGAATCTAACCCTAACCTAGTCGGTCCAGTGTTAGCAACAGCACAAGTTTCACGGCCTCGCATGGCGGAGTTATTGATTAGTTTATTGATTCCTGGAGGAATCGAGAGACGAAAGGTATCCGATGTCCAGAGCCTGTCATGGGCAACAAAAGACGGTTTACTATGCGTTTTAAGTTCCGGAATGGGACACGCGTCGGTTTACCAATGCTGGGCGTTACATGCTGACCACGATGGATGGTTTGTCAATGCCTTAGCGCTGGAGATTCTAGGGAGAGAGTAGGTGGAGCATGTCGGGCCTCTCGTTACAGAGTACGGCCTTTGGGAGCTCTTATGAATGGCAATGCGTGGGATGTCTGGAGCTACCCTGAAATTGCAGCGGAATTCATTACTATTGCTCGGTGATCATCTTGAACGCAACAATTAGTCCTCGGACGCGCCTACAAACACTCATAAAGTCAGTACGTCGGAAGCAATCCACTCGTCGGAATCATTGTGATGTCTTGATGGCGCCCAGGTGCTTCCTGAGAAATCACATTGTAGCGAGGTTCTTCCGCACTGCTGGATGGACTGAGTTGACCAGGATTGCTCCTTGAGTGATGCTGTCAGAAACCTTGGCTTGTTGTCTAGTTCCGGCGCATGATTCGCCATCAATGAGTAATGATCCCGCCTCTGCAATGGGCGCCTACCTGTTCTTCCGCTATCTGTTCTGCTATCCCGTGCATGCTCCCTACCCGGGGAACCTGGGCAACCCGTACCTACTTTCGAACCCTTGTCTCTTGCCATAGTCTTGGCTTGCAAACCTCGAGTCCCGGCGCCAGCCACCGGCTCGAACTTGACTCAAAGATCCAGGTCGACCGTGTTAACCATCTCTTTGCAATGTAGATTGCAAATAGATTGATGGGCGCCGACAATGACGATGGGGTCTCCCTCGTCGTCCCTCCCTTCGGGGAGAAGGAAGCGGTTTTTGCGGATGTTCTTTGTTCGCTTCTACAATGCCCTCCAATGTCTGCTCGACGCGGAGAGGAAACAAAAACTTGTCTCAGAGAGTACTGTACCCCGCACGAGGCTTAGGTCTCAGCGACCAAGGTTGTCTTTATGCCCACATGGATGGCATGTTCGAGAGCAAATTGGGAGATGGAAAGCTTCGATTAAAATCAGGCTGAGTAACGCGGGAAAACATGGGGTCGGATGAACTTCGCGAAGGACGCGAGACTGTGTCCGATGTACACGCTGCGTTCATTGAGCTTCGACTTTGTACTGCTGTTCAACGCTCTATGCTCTAGCATCTTGCAATCTTGATGACTTGCCATTGCCATTCTATGTCTTGGAAGCCGGCAATCGTCCCGATTGAAGCCCACCAAGTCGCTCTCCTCTCGCTTGCCTGTTCTTGCTTCGTCCATCATGCGACCCGGCTGCCCGTTCAACATGTCTCTTGCATACAATGCAGTTGTTCACAGGAGGCGTTTGTGGGACCTCACAAGGGTGGGGATCAAAGCTCAGGCTTGTCTACTTGTCCTCTGTACTGTTCACATTTGCTTCTGCGGAGACTTTGGCGACTTGGTAGTTGGTCCTGGGCGTGTAGGAGATCAACGAAGCGAGCGTATTGCGCTTCGATCGGCTAAGGGGCGTTTGTATGTGGGCACCAGGACCGGGCTATTGTGCGAGAAGCTTGTTGCGAGTTCTGGATCAGAAGGTGCCGAACATCTGCAGGTCGATTTCCGCTCGTGAACCGCCGCCTTTCCTCGGGGAGGCGGCCCCTATTTTTTCTATAAGTCACCCACGCCCCTCAGAGATTGGCTCCGCTAACTACCGCCGCAGGAAGGAACGATCAACATCAAACGATCAGTTTGACGGGCTTGAGCCGAGCGGATCTATAGTAGCTTCGAGATGTGATTCGGACTGCTATCTCCGGTCTTCATTCTACCTTGGATTATGTAGCTGTTGGTAGACTAGGCCCGTCAACCAATTCGCCGCATGCTATCATCACAAACCAACGCCATCACTCCCAAGTTGTCAATTATTCTTCGCTCTTTGCTGCTTATTGCATAGATCTGCATTGCTGAGTAATACACCTGGGCGACTGTGCATAATTAGAGCTGCCCCTCCAAAAAAAAGTTGCCCCGCCACCGCGATAGTGGAAGGCAAAGGAACGTTCCCGTGGTTGCCGGCTAATTTTTTCTCATTGGGTCCAATGGGTTTGTAATAATATATTGTAGTCCCTCTATTTACAAGTTCTTGATTTTTTCTCCTTTCCCTTACGAAAATCAATTGATCTCTGCAAACCAGGAAACATGTCAACAGAAGGAGAAAGCACTGCCCCTCAGGGCAATGTTGTGGTAGAGTCGCAATTTCAGAAACCCGGCGACTTGGTGGAGAGAAATGAAGATACCGGCGTTATGTCATTGGAGAGTCTCTGCATGAACTGCCATGAAAATGTAAGTGACACCGATGGATATTTGGTTTTTTCTGCGCCGAGGCGACAATTACTAACAAAACTTTAGGGTATCACCAGACTTCTACTCCTCCGAGTACCTTTTTTCCGCGACATTATCCTCGAATCTTTCGAATGCGAGCACTGCGGCCACCGAGACAACTCCGTCAAATCCGCGGGTCAGATTCAAGAGAAGGGAACGAAATACACACTGGACGTTGAGAATGAGGAGGATTTCCAGCGCCAAGTCATTCGAAGCGATGTCTCGACTTTCAAGGTCGAATCGCTCGGTATCGAGATGCCCAAGGGCGAAAGCCAGCTGACCACAGTGGAGGGGGTTATTCAGCGCATTTACGAGAACCTGTCCAGCGAGCAGCCACTGCGCAAGGTGGAAGCTCCCGAGCTGCACGATGCGCTCGTGCCTATCCTCGAGAAGCTCGAGAAGATTCTGAAGCGAGAGGGTTTTCCTTTCACCATCTCGCTCGATGATCCTACCGGTAACTCCTGGATTGCTCCCAATACACAGGACAAGACAAACAAGTACAGACGTCGCGACTACCCCCGTACACATGAACAGAACGAAGAGCTCGGTATTGCTGCCGACCCCGAGGCCCAGAAGAATGAAGGCATTAACGTGGAGGGCGAGATTGACGACTCGGAAATTGTCGAAGGTCAGGTTTACAGTCTGCCCTCGGAGTGCCCCGGCTGCACGAAGGCATGCTTTGTCAACATGAAGAAAGTCAACATTCCCCACTTCAAGGAGGTGTTCATCTGGGGTACAGTTTGCGACCACTGCGGCTACCGCACTAGCGAGGTCAAGACCGGTGGTGAGGTTCCCGAGAAGGGCAAGCGCATTACCCTTCGTGTCGAGAACGAGGTCGACCTGTCGCGTGATATCCTCAAGTCCGACACCTGCGCGCTTCACAGCGACGAGCTTGAGGTTACTGTTCAGCCCGGTACCCTTGGCGGCCGCTTCACCACCGTTGAGGGTCTGCTCACGGAGATTCGCGATCAGTTGCACGGCCAGATCTTCGATGTCGACGACACCACCAACTCTGGTGGTGACAGTATGGTAGTGTCTGACAAGGAAAAGTGGGAGCGATTCTTCAGCCGTCTCGACGATGCCATTAACGGAAAGATGAAGTTCGTCATTACTCTTGAGGATCCCATGGCCAACAGCTACGTTCAAGATCTGTGTGCTCCCGCCGCCGACCCTCAAATCACAACTGAAGAGTACACTCGTACTGAAGAGGAGGAAGAGGAGCTCGGTCTGAGAGACATGAAGGTTGAGGGGTACGAGCAAGAGCAGAAGGAAGAGAAGCCCGCCGAGGGCGCTGATGAACAGAAGTCATGATTTTTGATACCAATTAGAAGACGGTTTTGTTTCCTGTGTTGAATTGTGACTGTTGGGTTTGCTCATGATGTGCATGATTTTTCTTTATCGACTTTCAACCGTTTGATGATTTGTCGAGTTCGCATTACGGCGCTTATGCTGCTTGATCGGAGATGAGTCCTTCGAAGACGAGTCCTTGCATTAAGATTCCTGACGCGGGTGAGCTTTGTTTCGTCATATCACTATGTGCAGGTCTTCATGGTGTTCTACTGTTTATGGGGATGTGGAAAAGTATTTAGCGAAATCATATTTGTTGCTCATAATTCACTCAGTCAAGTGTCTCTTGTATCTTTTCGTAACTCAGTCAGGGTCACTTTACTTGGTCTTTGCCTGCAAACCTTTTTGAGGTTGCAATGACTGCTGTATCTCACCGTTGTCATGTAAATCTTGCTGGAAGCGTGACTCTCAGATCGCCCAGCAGAGCCATATCAGCGGCACTGAGCGGTCGACATAAGTGACGGTAATCCGAGCTCCCGGGGTAAATATTGCCGGTCATTGAGCCGGCTTTTAAAATACCCAACGTCAATTCCACGAATCTCAGTGGGTTGGGTCGAATACTGCCAGCAAGGATCTGTAGGTCCTCCTCGAGGCTTCAGGACCGTGGGCCGCGGTTCAAGAGAACGCTCTCATGAAGTCATCTTCTGCCTGTGAACAGGAGGGCCTCATCTCACTTCGCAAACGGGTTGGCGTGGATCGTCACGTTGTTGATACCAATCGCTTCGTATTCCCCCTCCTCCCCTTCTTTCGGCTGAGTCACTCTCCCCTTCTTGTCCACCTTTAGATTCGCCTTCTCTATTTTGCTCAGGACGTCGCCTCCCTCATCCTGCGGACTCAGGTTCAGAACTTTCCCAAACACGGTACTCGCCCCGTCCAAGTGGGGAGCCGGCGCGAAGGTAATGAAGAACTGACTACCATTGACCGTCGCACCCGTCGCACCTTGTGACCCCGGTGCCGTCCGGTCTTTAACTGGTCTTGACGCCATTGACAAAATTCCGCGCGTATTATGGCGGAGGGCTGGTAGGTGAATCTCCTGATTTAGTGCACGAGGATGGTAGATTGAGGTGCCGCCCTTGGGAATTTCGTTGACAGGTAGCATAGGTTTTAGTGTATTCAATGTTCCTGGTGCTGGTCCGAGCGAAATATCGCCGCCCTGAATCATGAAGCCGGGGAAGATACGGTGGAAGGGGGTATTGTTGTATGCGCCGCAAGCGCAGAGAGCGAGAAAGTTCTGTGATGAGTAGTGTCCGGGTCAGCCTCGATGGGTCTCGGAAAGCAAAGAATAACGTTCATCAACGAATACGAAGACGCCAGGGTGGAAAAACACTCACTTCGGCTGTCTGAGGCACGGCCTCGCAAAAGAGCTCGACCTTGAGATCACCATGTGTGGTATGAAGCTGCCGATTGAGGTCAGCATCGTCATTCTCCCAACCAAGGAACCTGCGCAAGGCTCGGAGTGCCAAAAGCAAATGGAGAAGAACCTACAGTGACTGACATGGCGACTCGTCTAGCGCTAGTATCTGAAATCGAACGAAATCCGAGTGATAATGATCATCACACCTATGTTCTGGCAGCTTCATTCCGTTGAAACACGTGACATGCTTCGGCGCTATTCCTCTTCGGCTCATATCGTTGATAACAGGCGATAACGCTAGTCTAAAAATGGCAGCACGTTAACAATAGCTGGAGCCCGCAGCTTTCGACAGATCCCTTGACCAGGTACAAACGTTTCACTGACGTATCTCCATTCATATACTGAGCCCAAAATGAACAACAGACCTGTGGAGCAAGCTCTGTCTATCTTAGTGCCAACGCACGCCAATGACCTACCGCCTGAGCTCGTCAGCTTAGCCCTGTCCCTAGTCGCGCAATCACGAAGTTTTGCAGCAAGCTTGAAGCCCGAAGAGGAGATTGCACGGCCCCATGCTTGTGCCGAGATCGCATGCAGAAGGTACAACTATTTCAGATCCCAATTGATGGCCCTAGACACTGAACGAGCCATCAATACTCCAGGTTGAGCAGGACCCTCAAACTCCCTCCGCTACTTGGCCATCCTCCATGCCCTCCTCGAGCATACAAGAAACTATACTCTTTTCTGGAACGGTCGTTGTCGACTAGTGCCAGTGGCTCAAAACGCGCAAGAGACAGTTCGGCCCCAGGGACGCCTTCACGCTCGGGTTCTGCACCTTCAACACCTACAAAGACACAAGCACTTGCAAAAACCGCTGCGACGCCGCGCGGCCTTCAAAATACACCGAGCAAGTCTACGCCCCTCAAGCAAGCTGTCAATGCCTCGGACAGACCGGCTGCACTGTTGCCCACTCCTCAGAAAACCACCAAGGTCCGTCCCAATGGTCTCTCCAGCTCTACGATCATCGCCGATGCACCTGCATGGGTCATGGATTCGATCCGCACAGTGTGCAAGACACTTTCCACTCCAGCACCGCGCACGAGCACATGGTCTCGGCCCCCGATCTCTCGAACTCTGCCGCCACATATTTTCGCTGGAGTATCATCGATCCTCTACCTCATCTCGAACCTCTCAGCAAAGAATGACGAGGATCTGGACGAAGAAATGATGGAGTTCCTCGAGCCAATCATCACGGTCAAGGATACAGAGAAGGACGAGGATTTCAAGGAAGTCGTGTACGCGTTGGTCGTAGCAGTCTACTTCATCGTGCTTGCGCGCCGGCGCAATGCACCAGATGATGGCTCTTCGGAGGCATGCGAGGCAAGGAAGATGGACAAGAAGACGTTTTCGGAGATGCGGCAGACTGCCCTTGTCAGCCTTGGCCTGCCTTCCATGGAGCGGCGACACCGCGACGACGTCGATCAGTGGATTGCGTTGATCATGGAGCAAGGCTGGATGAATGGTCAGGAGTGGTTCGAGAACATCCCGCAGGCTGGGGAAGTGGACGGAGACGATGAGTACCTGTCGGATGAGTATGGCGACCGTGACAATGAAAGAAAGCGCCAGAAGACAACAGGTGCGGGTCACGGTTTTCTTCTGGAGGACTCGTCGAAAAGGAAAGGTCTTCTGCCTGGCCTGGGGACAATGATGCAGGACCGCGTCGACTGGTTGAGCTTTGATCGCCGCGAGGATTACATGGAATGGAAGGCTGATATAATGGCCCGCATTCAGCAATTGACCTCTGCTAGATGAATAGCGGGTGTCCTATCTCAACATTCTCATTTGCATGATATGAATTATGATACCCTTGACCTAAACATCTCTAAATGTTCCTCTAAGTAGATAGTTTTAAATGTCCTTTCCTCTATGCCGTACCAACCTTAAATATGCCAAAATCATCTCTATCCTCTATAAACCAATAGTGCAGTAGATGGTCCGGCAGGTCATAAAAAGGTCACCAAACTCTCAGAAGCGACATCAAAGGAAATCCCAGTAAAATGGAGGGCAAAGCATGACCCCTGACGGTATGTACGCCGAACGCATCGCCATGAATATGCAAAGGGGAACAGAATTATTTGGGTATCATGGTAAGTGGCAGTCGGTTCATATGCTGCATCTGGGCTAATACCAAATGCTTCTCGTCCTGTGATGCGGAATGGTCTCGCGGCCGTCCCTCTCCAACTCTTTTGCTGTATCATACAAGAAGAAGTCGATCAAGATAGCATTGATCCCCAAGCCGGATGCATCGTGGGTACTGTTCTGTCGGATGTGCTTTTGCGCGGCAGGATTTGTCTCGTTTTCGAATGAAGTGGCTCCATTTTCTGGGCTTTGAGCTGATGCMCCTTTTGATAATTTCTGCTTCTTCACTTCGGGGTGTTGGCGTTCAATTTCACGCCGAATCAACTCGACGCACCAGATGCTGGTTGCCCGCAACTCAATTTCCCAGTTGGAGCCACTGGGAATCAGCTTTTTGCTCCTGATATGACTCTCTAGCGATGGCGAGTATAAGAGACAACCAAGTTGATGCAGCATCTGCGGGATTCGGTAATCTGCCAGTCGTCACTTGTGAGTGACGTCGTGATATGTTGCGTGGGGAATAAACATACCGGCAAACATGGTGATTTTGTCAATATCGTGAAATTCTCCGTAACTTTCTCCATTGAAACATGCCCAGAGGTCTGCCACGAGAATCTGTGCGCGTTTGTATAATCGTACTCGCCGGCCTTGGAAAACTGTCTCGTCTCGAAAGCAGGGAAAGCTTTCTACAAGAAGATTGACAAGAGCTGCGGCCGAATAATTGGCACTATAAATGCAGTTCACGAAGCTGCCGTCGAAATCCTAGAAACGCATTGACTTAGCAAGGGTAGTTCGAAAGGTAAGAGACTACGATGGGCATCGACGTACAGAGCAAAGGACCCTGCCTGCTTCACGAAGGCACTGGAGACGTTCATCTAGCAGTGGAATCTTCTCCTCACTCGCTGATCTAAAAACATGTCTGAAAAGAGCGTCTGTGCATTCCTCCTCATTGATCCAGAATTCTGGTGTGGTGATCTGAATCCCTGAAAGCAGAGCGGTGTGAGTCTCTCCTTGGAGTGAAGACATTGACAGATGACTTACCCTCATCTAAAGCTCTTTGCAATGCGGCTACCAGACTCCAGTAGCCTGTCCACTTTTTCCCCCGATACTCAATGCAAAATCGCTTGGACGGTTCTGTTTGGTCCGACCAGAAGCTGAAGTTCAAAAGATCCATCGTGAATATGAAGTCAACTGTGCTCCCATCTTTCGCCTTGGGGTGTAACTCGTGATCTGCCCATGTGTCGGTTGAGTAGTTCTTCTTCTGCATCAGACGCCATATTGTCTCCGCCGCCTCCTTAACCTTCGCCGGACTCAGGGCGACGTCAATGGCATTATCGAAAACGAATTGCGCATTTTCGAGGACTTTCGTCTCCGCTGTCCGCGGATTGGCAGGGCCCCCATCTAATCCAAGTGATTTGCGAAGAAGGGCCAGGAGCTCGGGATCGGCTTCGTCGTCCGACATGGCGCGTGCTATCATTCTGGTCTACTTCCAGGAGTTCCCACACAATTGTCCGAATTGTAGGGTATAACTGAAGATATATATCCACCAGATAGAACCCAAGATTGATGTCAGTGAACAAGGGAACAAAGGTTTTTTCGAGCGCGGACGTATAATTGCAGAGAACTATGTCACCAGATCGCGTTTGACTCAAGCGATCGCTGATCAGTTCGCCGCAAAGGGACCCTGCAAAGCCGGTCTGTTGCGTATTCTATGGGGACGACCAAGGATGTTTTGAGCAAGTCAAAGCATGAAGAGGGTCTGCAGACAAACCAGAGAGATGTTAGAATCGTAGGAAAGGGGTCAACAGAAAAATGATTCAGCTGCCTAACCTCAATTTCTGACCCAAAAATTGCCTTCTTTATCTTATCTGGGGAATTTTGGAGGACTCTTTTATGGGAGGTTAGGTAAGCGACAGAGATTGGTGCCACATTCTTCAGGCACAAAAGGGTCCGCTATTAAAGTCCGGCGGCAGATCTGTATGTCTCTGACCACCATCCTCGCCTCTTGGAAATGAGACCAGGGTGCGGATGCATGGATTGTTTGATCCCAATAACCGTTGGATATGGAAGGGAAGCGACAGAGTCCCCAGTAGTTGTTGACTCCATTGTCTGGTGTTGATGTGAGGAGATTTTTGAACTGCCACTACTGTGATGACGTTGGATGTACCCCTCGGTATTGGACCATCTCCAAATTATCGGACACCAGCTAGATAGATGGAGCATCTCACATTGCAAGATAATATTTTTCGCAAAGCCTTAGGGAACAGTGCTGAGTAAATTGCATAACTGATGACGCATAGACGCATAGATAGATACCAGTCTAGCTGGTACGGAAATGAGAGAATGAGAGGAATGTGAGGTCTCAAAGTCCAGGCTCGGGCAAATGCAGCAGCCTCTCCAGTCAGGAGATTTGATTTGATTCGAGCCATGCATGCATGCTGCTTGTTCTCCATCTCCTCTCCCTCATCACACTAAGAAATTAATTCCTTAAGATTCTCGACCGTCTGGACGCCGATTAGGTATTAAGAGGCGCAACAAGGCTGCCTTTTTCCTAATCAGCCTGTATCTAGCGTTCGCTTCACTTGACTCTGATAAGAGCGTATCCGTGCACAACGTTTGAGAGCTTCCCTCTTGAGATTAGAAAACGTCTCTGTAGTCAAACACTCCTGATGAGATTGACTGGCGCAAAAGAGTCTCATCAGACGCATTCACTCGCCTTTTTGCCCTGCAATGGATGAGGCACCATTGTGTTGTTTGAAGCTGCTTCGGAACTGAACTCACCCCGGCCACTCTTTTCCCTTTCAACCTTGCGCCTGGTTACGTCTGTTTCCGGATTCCCTTCCAGCGTCTTGAGAACTACATTATTAAACTTACGTTCTCCAACACCTCCTACAGTTTATCGCCTACCTTATGTTATCCCTCATTCGTACAATTAACTCTGCGTCTAAGTGATCAATTACTTCGGGGATGTTCTTCCAACCACTCTGAAGCTCTACGTCACACCCCATCTTTCAATTCGCAACAAATGGCGAGGGACACTTATCTGAAGCGTTCCCTCGGAACGCTTTCCAGGCGCATCAAAGAGGTAACTATAATACACCCTACGCTTACCTTCTCGATGCGCTCGTACTCGCGACCGTTGAATCAAGCTTGATGCTGACGTCCCTTTTCCAACTTAGTCGCGTGTGCTTCTTGTCGGTGCCGGCGGTATCGGCTGCGAGTTGCTCAAAAACCTTCTGCTGTCCGGCTTTGGAGAGATACATATCATTGACCTTGATACCATCGATCTGAGCAACTTGAATCGTCAGTTTCTCTTCCGCTACGAACATATCAAGAAGCCGAAAGCATTGGTACGTCTTCGCCGTCTGATCGGTTCCTCTGCCTTCCCACGTCCGCTCGCTTTTGCGCTTCGATCTCCTACGCTACGCGATATGGCGAACAAGGTCTGACCTATGCGGGTAATCATATAGGTTGCCAAGGAAGTGGCTCATAAATTTCAACCGAGCGCAAAGCTGGAAGCGTACCATGCAAACATCAAGGACAGCCAATTCAATGTCGACTGGTTTGCGACCTTTGATTTGGTTTTCAATGCGCTTGACAACCTCGACGCCCGGCGACATGTTAATAGAATGTGCCTGGCTGCCAATGTGCCGTTGATTGAGAGCGGAACAACAGGGTTCAACGGACAGGTGCAGGTTATCAAGAAGGTAAGCCTTTCCCGTAGTAGTTGATCCATGCTCCTTTCCTTCCGTACATTCTTTGATGACTATCATAGAATCAAACCGAGTGCTACGACTGTAATTCAAAGGAAGTACCCAAGACATTTCCAGTGTGCACCATCAGGAGCACGCCGAGCCAACCCATTCATTGCATTGTCTGGGCTAAGAGTTACCTGTTCCCGTGAGTGTTATACATATCTGCGCATTAGCCTCAAACAAGACTAATGCTATAAAGCGAGCTTTTCGGTACCAGCGAAGATGAATCGGAAGAATTCGATCATTCGGCAGATGCTGATAACGGTAAGAACTACCTTGGTCATCTACGTGTCGCAAACTGGGTCTAACCCTGCAGCAGCTACCGAAATTGCCAATCTGCGTAAGGAGGCGCAGGCTCTGAAAGCAATCCGTGAGTCCATGGGCTCTCCCGAGTTCTACCAGAAGGTATTCGAGAAAGTCTTCAAAGAAGACATCGAGCGGTTAAGGGGTATGGAGGACATGTGGAAAACTCGAACGGCACCCCAGCCCCTTGATTTCGAAAAATTGCAGCAAGAATCATCCTCAATCGAGCCTACAGTCTCCGTCAATGACCAGAAAGTGTGGTCATTAGCTGAGGACTTTGTTGTTTTCAAAGATAGGTTCGATACTCTGTCGCCTCAGACAACGAGCGATCGCTGACTGTCACTATAGCTTGGAACGACTTAGCAAACGCTTAAAGACTCTGCAAGAAAACACCAAGGATGGTCTGAAGCCGATCCTGATCTTTGACAAGGATGATGTCGACACTCTCGACTTTGTCACTGCGAGCGCCAACCTCAGAGCGACGATCTTCGGAATCGAGCCTAAGTCAAAATTTGACACGAAACGTAAGCTAGACCCTATCACTGATTCATTTCTATTGCTGATTGTTATATCAGAGATGGCTGGGAATATCATTCCCGCAATTGCGACAACAAACGCGATGACAGCTGGGCTCTGCGTGTTGCAGGCTTTCAAGGTTCTCAAAGATGATTTTCAAAATGCCAAAATGGTACGCCCTACCTTTGAACTGATTCCCGCGTAATCTGACCTCTCATCCTCAACCAGGTCTTCCTTGAACGCTCTGGCGCGCGCGCCGTCAACTCTGATTCCCTGAAACCGCCCAATCCGAGCTGCCCTGTGTGCTCCGTTGCCACTGCCAGAATCAAGATTGACCCTGAACGTGCGACTGTGAATGACTTGGTGCAGGATGTACTCCGGTTGCAATTGGGCTACGGCGAAGAGTTCTCTCTGAGCAACGAGCTGGGAACCATCTACGATCCGGATCTTGAAGACAACCTGCCCAAGAAACTGTCGGATCTCGGTATCAAGAATGAGAGTTTTCTCACTGTCGTGGACGAAGAAGATGATCAACCTCGCGTCAATCTTGAACTTGTCGTTCTTGTGCCTGAAAAGTAAGATTACGGCACATAGAGTGGTAATTGTCGACTTGAATCATTTGCTAACTATATTTCAGACCCGAGCCCTCTGAAGCAGAAAAACCCGTCTCTCTAGAGAAGATGATCGATATTCCTCGGAAGCCCAAGGCACGCGAGCCTCCCGTCCCAGAACCTGTAAATGGTGCAGCAGCCACTGGCAAGCGCAAAGCGGAGGAAGCTGGTCTCACCAACGGTGACGAACGTGCGAAACGTATCGCGAGTGCCCCCGTCGCCGAGGGCGATGGAGAACACCCCATTGTATTGGATGAGGCAGATGGCGGCGCTATTTTGATCGACGACTGAACAGTCGAAGACGTTAGCATTTTCATCAAACGCCAATGTCACCATTAGCACTCGGCGTTGGTTTTATTTCGCAGGTGCCAGCTCTTGCATGCTGCATTTGGAATTGGGAATCTGCAATCTTGCCCAATGATGTCCTTGTAACATATCTCACGAACACGAAAAGTCTGAAATGAAATATAGATTGGTCAATCATACCAGTTACTGTCCCACTTGCGCATGGCATTGTGTTTCGGTTTCCTGGAGGCGCAGGCGCCATAGTTCGAGGGAGTCTATCATGGTATCCTCATGAGCCGTAAAACAGCCCGTGCTGTCATAGCAGGTATATAGCTTCTGACTCCGTTACGTAGATTGTGCAGTCTTCCCATCAGACCGCGCTCAAACCACCGTCCAGATTGAGGACGCAGTTGTTCGCGTATTCATTCTGCGCCAGGAACACAGCCGCATCGGCAATTTCCTGCGGAGTACCAAACCTCCGAAGAGGAACACTGTCTTTCAGTCTGGAGGTTTCGCCCTCGCTGAAATCTGCAGTTATATAATTAGTCTTCGATCAAGAATGGTCACAACCAGCGACGTCTCCGCTAGGACTCGACTCACCGGCAATCATCGGCGTTTCTATATACCCCGGTACTATCGCGTTGGAACGAATTACAACGCCTCGGAGGGAATGGGCAGCTTCCACAGCCAATGAGCGCGTCAGTCCAAGGATGCCAGCCTTGGATGCAGCATATGGTACCGCGCCGGTGCCTCCCTTGACAGCAAGCAGGGAAGAAATGTTAATAATGCATTTTGAGGGGACTCGTATTTCAGAGGAGCTGGAGGTGCCACGATTCTTCATGCGACTGCGGATCGAGGCGCGCACAAGAGCTCGCGAGGTTAGCATTGCGCCCTCGAGATTCGTGCGAAGGACTCGGGAGATATCGTCCGGTTCAAGTTTGGCGAGGATGTTCGAGATGGAGATGCCTGCGGCGTTGACGAGGATGTCTACCGGTTGCTGTTTGGAT